GCTGTGGGTATTGCACATCCGACAAGGGTTCTCAACGCACAGCGCACAAGCTTCCAAAGTGAAACAGCGGAACCACAGCGGAGTGAACCCACAGCGAGTTCGCGTGAACGCTTGGGGCGTGCGGCCCCGGTACAGCTTACGAGACCAGGGCTCATCGTGCTGCCCGTACAACGCGTGACCGCAACCGACAAAAAGGAGGCTCCGCTCACCGATTGGTGTAGCGGTACTAGAGTATTACGCAATTTCAAGTTGCCAACAGGGAAATAAAAACAAAATGTATGTTTGTTGAACTTCTTTTGCACCGTACGTAGCCAGCTGTGATAATCGGAGGTGTTATGGCCGGTGCGATCGTATCAATTTGGTATGCTTACTAGGAAGTAAAAGTATGAAAATGTTGAAATCATAGTAAAAACATGGTGCATTTATAATGCCAAGTAATATACTAACAGTAATACATTTGATTGTCATACGCAATTATTTATACAGAGGCTTGAGAGCTGCCCATCCACACACCGCGGTGTCAAACACAAAACTTGTGAACGTAGGAAAAGCATTGCATTGCAATTTACATACAATGTATGTAAGGAAACAGTCCGACATTTACAAGCTGGCATGCCGGTCAATGAAGGTAGTTTCTAACATGTCAGCTCTCGCAGCCTACATTATGATTCGAATTTTTTTTCGTTAGGCCACCGAATGAGCTGACCAAATTTGTCTCATTGAGACCCTCCACCAGGCATGCAAGCCTTCAATGTACCTATTTTGTTTCAGCTCACTGGAAAATTAATGCAAACTAAATTACCAATTAATATTTTAAAAAATCCAGGAAGTACTACATAATTTTTATCCTTGCTGGATCTTGTCCTGATATTTTATGCAACTTCCAATTAAACATTGTACATCTAATTGCTAAATTTGTTTGGAGAATTGTCTTAACTTTACCGGTGAGCTGCAACAACGACCGACACGTAAAACCCTTGTGCACCGCGTGACAATTAGATTGATTTGCCTTTGTCAGGTGGTGGAGGGGTTTAACACAAGTTTGGCCGGATCATCACTTGGCCTCACCTAGGAACCAAAACGAATCATCAAGCAGCCTATATTCTGTTAGAGGGTGGGCTACGAAGCAATAAGCATGCATGAAGGCACGCAAACGCACACACTCACGAATTCAATCACATGCCGACAGAAATGTGATCTATCCGCCTTTCAAAAAATAAAGACTCTTTAGAAAGCATTTTGTTACCATAACCTACAGAGTACTCTTGCCATTTGTGATCTTACCATCAACAAAGTAAAGGTGCAGCCCTGCAATTGCTTGCTCACACCCCTGCTGGCAGAAGGGCCTCCACTAGGGGCAGATCTGGAGAGCCCTTCTCTCGAGGGTGTTTTTGCCCTGCTCTTCCACGCTGGCCAGATGTCTTGGATGAGGTGGAGGTACCCGCATTTTACCCCGCCACACACGACCTGCCAATCAACTACGGAGTACCCATTTATACTGCTGGGTGGACAGAGGTAGGAGGATTTAAGAAACGTATAAAATGTTTCAATATGTCGCGCTGCGAGATCAATCCGGTGACCTCTGGATTGCACTCCAGTATGGCAACCACACCAGTGCAGCACACTGATCTACTACTGAGGGTTCTAAGCTGGCATGCAATATAATTCATTGATATGTATATCCATTTATATTTCATTATTTTAAAACTTAAAAAAGACATATGTTACATGTAGATAACTACATACATATGATGGATCAATAACAAGAATACTCATCTGGGAATTAGTAATTGGTATGGTAAGATTTGCAGCGATTAGTTTAGAGACATTCAGTTTTTATGAAATAACAAAATATCCGTGGACAGATGCAAGGACGGACCTTTAGTTCCCTTAATAAGAACTTCATGCATTAGTTACACCAAAGACAAAATATGCTCAATACAATTTCACAATATCCTTGTGAAACCGTGTAGGTCATTTGAATGAGATGTAATTCTGCAATTAAATTCCGAAAATTGTCAGCTTACACAGACACAAACACATAAATGATTTCTTAAATAAAGTTGAGTTTCTTGATAACAGTAAATATAAATTATAATTCTATAAAACAATCACGTTACAGAGAATGAGACAGGACTGCTATGACTTGCATCTCCACACTTCTCAAAATAAACATCGCCCCTTATAGGTAGAGTGCTCTCATGTCAGACGATGCTGATCGCTGCATGGATTAGTTTATTTATGGTACCTTTGTGTGGCTTTTGCAGAAGTAGGCATGCCCAATTACTTGTAATAGAGTTCATATTATAAAAATAGGCTCAACGTAAATGGCAATGCAAAATAATAATGTGGTATAAAATGGGACCTTTTTGGCAGTATCAAAGTATGAAAAAATAGCATTCGGTTTTACCCTTTATGGCAATAAAACAGGTTTTAAGATGTTCAAACACCAGATAGAAACCTTTAGCAAGGAATCAATTTCGCATTAACCACACATACTTGTGGTGAACATGCAAACATACTATATGGCATTGTGTTTGAAACGGTTTGGCCTACACCAGAGACAGGAGCCTTATTTAGGGCCTAGTCCAGGGGTCGGGAACCTTTTTGACTGGGAGAGCCATAAAAGCCAAATATTTCTAAATATATTTCATTGAGAGCCATATAGTATTTTTAACGTATAATAAATTAAATGTGTCTTACTTTTAATGTGACTTCTGGTCACGGGACCCGTGACCCGAGAAATGTTATCTTCAAAACTAATTTGTTTACTTAAAAATGACACAGTATTATTAAGCAATATCACAAGTATTTTAAAATCAGTTTCAAACTGATTTTATTTTTTATTTTTTTATTTTTTTATTTTTTTCAACTCAAAATTGTCTGGGAGCCATATGCCGTCACCGGAAGAGCCATATATGGCTCGCGAGCCATAGGTTCCCGACCGCTGGGCTAGTCTCACCAGTGTCAGACCAGAGAACGCCGAATGGTGAACAGCACAAAGACAATGCCACTATCAGAGCATTTATAGCTCCGGGTGAGAAGCTACAAAATGGGGACTTTTTGTCAGTATCAAAGTATGAAAAAGTAAGAATAGGTTTTACCCTCGTCGGTGATGTAGACTAATCAGTTTCAAAGACAATGCATTTATTATCAAAGCATGTTTGTTTGCATGTTCACCACGAGCACGCGTGGTTAATGCAGACTTGATTGCTTGCAAAAGGTTTATATTTGGTGTTTAAATATCTTAACACCTGTTTTTATTGCCAGAAAGGGTAAAACCTATTCTCATTTTTTCATAAAAATGTCGTGTCGGGTTGCAACTACTGAAACACAGATCTACAATATACACCACAGATACACTAAACTATCGTCGCACTGAACAAGGCCATTACAATCACTGCATTAATTTCAATCCCATATAAAAGTATGGCATAAAGTCAACACTGTAGTGATAATGAGCAACATTTTTCACTCAAACACAACGTGTAACCACAATCATGTATTTTAATACAACTATGTTTTCTGAATAGCTATTTCAATCACGAACCCAACTTAAAGACCTGCTCATGAAAAGTCCAGAGACTTTATATCTTGTCCGGCATCACGCATGTCCCTGGCTGATGTCCAATAGTGCAGATCAAGAGTGTCACAGAGTCAGTCACTGCTTTTAATTTCCTATCTACAGAAGACACTAACGCAATCTTGACAATTTTACTAGACATGCCAGGGCCATGACATGCCCTGCTTCGACATGATTTCCTAGTCATAACTCAAGGGTGAAAGTTTCAGGAACTTTCATGGCAATGGAAATGAAGAGTCCACAAAGCAGCATCCCACTGTGCTCTCGTTTTGATTGTCATAGCTCAGTCAGCGCCAACTCACGTCCCGCACTTTAACAAAGTCTGCAAAATCCACAATAAAAAATATAATTACGATAATATTAATACAGCATTAATATAGTAAGTGTGATTGAAGTAAACAATGTGTGTGGCAGAACGCCACATGCAGTACATAGCGAGTACCAGGACTTATATCCAAACCGGATCCCAAAATCTCTCATGCTCACACGGGTGTTGAGAATCCTGCTATCAAGACTGCGCATCGCCCCACACCGAATGTTTGGGCATTTCTAATTCTCGTCAGGCCATCACAAATGCAGGCGACCTCTATTGCTGGCTTAACTCCATGACTTATTTTTCAGACAACTGTCCTGTTGGCGAGTGTCACCCGACGTGCTCTTCACCCAGCAGGTGTCATGCCAACATTGTCTCAGACCTGTTTGTGTACCGTGGTCATCCATCCATGCAATATGCAAGCTCAACTCTGCTTAGCTTCTGAGATCTCATGAAATCGATCAGCGCTCTTGATATGACTTGCCATATTAAGTTGCGACGAAAGTTGTCATTATTATTATAATGGGTGATTTGGTGCTTGATTAAAATAATTTATAGCCATTTATGAACAACTTTTACATACTATATATATGTGCAGCCTTTTTGTTTTAATATCATATCCAGCCCATGAATATAAAAACAATCAGTGAATTTTTTTTTTATATGTAATGCCTGTTCAGATGGTTAACAATGTCCAAATGTACACATTGTTAATAATCTGAATAAAAAATAAACAGAAGCCAGCAGATAATTTAATTCAATGGTACATTCATAATCAGATACAAATAAAAACGTTTGGTTTTAGTTAATTAAAGATTCCAGGTAAAAATAAATTATAAAATACGATGGCATGTGTATTTTCTGGCTGAAAATATTACTTTCTCAAATTTGGATATAAATACTGGAAAGTAGTGCCAAGTCCCATCACCAGACCACCTTATTCTGATTCTGGTATCTCTAGAGCCCACGGAACACGGATCACGGATCCATCGACAGAACAACACAGCCCAGCACGAGCGCGTGAGTTGCACTTGGAGAATCTGCACCGCTGCTTGCCCGTAGATATCGTCGCCACGTCACGTAGTCTCATGCCTTCTTATGACCGGCCACACCATGGCCACCGCAAACTTGTGGAGTGCAAAGGTCACTCGTTTGATTCACAATGACGTTCCACAGATTGTGCAATCCGGTTGTAAAAATAACATGCCCCCGTTGCAATTAATCATCAATGGACACGCACCATCCAGAGGTAACAACGATAATATTTATCCACAATGGAATTCTGCACCCATGAAAACAGACGCTCTGAATCGCTTAACTAAAACATCAATGACTTGCTCGTGAAAGTGACGGGGCCTCCCGCCTCTGACGACGCGCCGGTACTTTTGCCCAGAGTTATGAATTCCCTCTCCACGTGATCTCTGAATCCTCGCTGGGTATGCACCCTGAACTCCCTCTCGTGCTGCGGCCTAACTTCAGGCTCTGTGACGGTCGCGACGGACCCTCTGTTGGCGTGGCCACCGCCAAGGTACGGCCTATCCGCATGCGTCCGGAACTCCCGCGACTCGGGCTGGTGGAAGGCCTTGAAATCCGCGGCAACGTACGGTTGGTACTCCTGCTCGCCCGGCTGCGCAGCCACGTCGCCGTCCCCATTGGATGTTGCCCTGAAATCTTGCGGTGGGGGCGACGTCCGTAAGCCAGTATTCTGCAGGCTGTGAGCGTCCAGCAGCTCAAGGAGCAGGTCGTACAGCGGGATCACATTCTTACGCTTCATGCTGTTGAGATGCTCGATGCCCTTGTTGCTGTAAACAACACACACATTGCAAAGTCAGTGTGTGCAAGTGTCAAACGCTGGCCCACCCTTGCAAGAGGCAATGTTTCCTGTGCCTCAGTGGGCCTGTATTGTCATCTTCTAGTTAAATAATGGATACTGGATATTCGTTTTAGCATGAAATCCACCGAACAATATAAAAAATTTTGAAAAACACAAATATATATCAAAATTGGCCAAACACATTGTCGACATCGTAATCAGTAATATATCTCAAAGCCCCCAAAACATAGGCTTCATAAAATTAAATTCCAAGTGATCACCTCCTCAAATGAGCATCAAGGGGGTGCCCATCTTTTGTTTACAGCCCTGAGCCAGTGGTGTAAATTCCACATTGCTATGGTGGTGGCTCCTTTGAAGCTCACGCACTTAAAAAAAAAACCAGGAGCGGACACTTGATAAATACTAGTCAAGCAGGTCAAGATGACATCACCATTGTCGTGCATACTCTGCATATCTCAGAGACACGGGAGAGGCAAGGAGGATATCCGCACGCACGTCTGACCTAATGTGTCGGATCTGCGAAAGCAGCAGGAGTAGCTGGGAGAGGCGGCGCGAGTGTTGCAGCGGGGACGCCTCAATGTGGCCGATGGTGCTGCCCAGGGCGTCCATCACCTTCTCGAGGATCTGCTGGATGAGCTGCACATTCGTCTGCTCCCTGGCAGAATTGGAGAGGCAGAAAAACACGCCTGCAGGAGAGAGCAGTTGTCAGCACGAAGCAGAAATCCGTAGAAACCCGGGCTATATTTAAAGGTTGATTTAGTGTGTCTGTCTTCAAGACCACTTCAATTTCATAGAATATCAGTTATGGAAATGAACACAGACTTTTTTAAATGTATATTTAATAACCTGAGTTTGATCGCACACCATGGATACTATCTGTAAGGAATGATGTCTGTGTATATCAGTGTATATATGTTTTTTAACACAGCTGCCGAGCACATGCCCAATGGCCCAAAACAGTGGCCTGTAAGAAACAGCACTACCAAAGAAGTAAAAGGTAAGAATGAACTCTCGTTTTAACTTGAGCAAAGTTACAAGAGCTTTGGAAAAAAGATGAAAGACTGTACATTTCTTTCGTGCATCTACTTGGACTTCCTTAACTGGCCATAGCTTACATCGGTGAAAAGTGATATCTCAGCCTCTTTGTTGTTTCCGAATTTAGCTGCTTTGGTTCCTGACGGTGTCATAGCTGCTGCTGCTTTCCGGTCGCTAATTTTTCGACCCAATCCTGGTTACTCGATTGGGGACGCGGACTTTGTTGATCTGGACGACATCCGAGCCGGTATCCTTCATCTGTGGTCGTCATGTGCAATGAATGGATTCCTTTTTTTTTTCTCTTTACGCCCGAAGTCTCAGCACCGCCCTTTCGCCCAATCCTCCTCCTTTTTATCCAGGCTTGGGACTGGCTCAGCTATCCACTGCATTGTGGAGTTAAATGGCAGTTAAGTAAGTCCAGTTAGATAATGATAAAACCTTGTCGGAAAGTGGTCTCTGGTTGGTTATTGGCATTATGATGCACACGCACTGCCTGTTTGTCAATCCACTGCTGGATGAGGGCACCCTCACTCCAAGTGGGTCGCCGGTATCATTTGACACAGCTTCATCACGCTGATCAGGGCGCGTTGGTAAAGGTGGGGAGCATGTAAATGTAAGCGTAGAAGTGCAGTACAACAGCGGATTTTGCTGCACTCCCTCCTGCTGTCCACGACGTAGCAAAGTTTTCATTAATCAAGCCGTGATATTGACTATTGGTGGTTTGCATTAGGATTTAGTTTGTACATGATGTCTGTAATGTGTTCACATTTCTGCTCCAGCCACTAGAGGCCGCTAATTTACCAGAATGTTTAAAAAAAGCTATTTCTTCTTGAATGGCATCACAAACATGAATCATGATGATTCATCGAATTAAAAGGAATCGTTACAGTGACCATGTTATTCATAGGGGCTGTTTTTAGCATAATTCACAACGATGGCCATTGCGGGTTGGTGAACATTTGCAATGCATTTGGAATACAGAAGGCATCTGCGTTGAAAGCTAACTCTTTAAAGAACTGAAATAAAACATAGTGCCAAGTTTGAAATTCCACCACATTATCACATGGGGGGAGTGGTAGTACAGTGGTTAGTGCACTGTGCCATGAACTCGGTGACCTAACTTCGATTTCCCGCCATGGCTAACATCAGTGGTGAGTATTATCTGTACATCTTACGCCTTTCACCAACCCGCACTGACCAGCTTGGTGAAGTATGGTCAAATAACTTCCATGAATGACATGGTATGAGGAAGCCTCCATGATTAATAAAAGGCCAAAACATTTGCATGGTTATTCATTTTAATGTAGGAGCAATGAATGTGAACATTGGAAATAATTTATGTAAGTGTTACATTTGTTCCCCAAATCAAGTCATCTACCTGTCCCTCAGTGTAAGCCCAAGCATGCATCCCTTCATGACACTTAGCATACTTTTCAGTTTTTCATTTTCTCTATGAGCCATATTTCATAGCTGGCAATATGTATGCATACACTTTAATATATGTTGAATTGAGCTCACATATTCTTGGTTCTTTCGGTAAAGTCACGTAGAAGGGAATTTAATTATTCTTATTTTATTATTTCCCTTCTACGTGACTTTACCGAAAGAACCAAGAATATGAATCCCTGCAGTCACGAAAGCTTTAAATCGAAATTTGGCCTCACATATTTGCTTGACCACTATTAAAGAGATATATAATAGGCTTAAGACAGGTCAATGAACTAAAGTGATGAAAGGTAATAATTGGAGGTATACTTACACATATGTATACATAATTGTACAAAAATGCTGATAAGCATGTACATATATGAAGACAAAACCGATACTCATACAGAAGAGATAGATACATAGATGCAAGTACCGTACATAAACATTCATGGTAATTAAACATGCGTATTTATTTTTTAAATGTAACCAATCAAAATCAACAGAAATATGAAACAACCAAAAGACATTGACGAAAATATCTAAATGTAGAACTAAGGCTTCCCTTGTGTTAAACTTTTAACTGCCAGTGCAGAGAAAGTCAAGTGGCAAATCAAGATTAGCGATTTCGATTTAAAGCTTTCGTGACTGCAGGGATTCATCTTCTTGGTTCTTTCGGTAAAGTCACGTAGAAGGGAAGTAATAAAATAATAAAAATAAAACATAATAAAATAATTCTCACGACGTTTCGGCCACAACGCAAGCAGCCGTCCTCAGGTGAAAGGACGGCTGCTTGCGTTGTGGCCGAAACGTCGTGAGAATTATTTTATTATGTTTTATTTTTATTATTTTATTACTTCCCTTCTACGTGACTTTACCGAAAGAACCAAGAAGAAGATTAGCGATGTTTTACACAAGCAACATTCCAAGCTGTGGCATAAATCAAAGGCGCAGAGTAGGCATGAGAACTCTTCTTACTGGCGTTCTTGTCATTATCGCTCTCTCTCAACCGCTTCCCACAAAGCCTTGAACTGGCCTTGCAGCCCGGTGCCAATACAGTGCATGTACAGTTTACACGATAACTGCCGGTTGAAGGAAAGCAGCCATGGTGCCAGCCAAGTTCCTCCGAGTTTGTCGACACTCGGGAGCCACCGCCACCATCGACCGCCTTTACCACCGAAGACCAAACCCGGACATGTTCATCCGTCAGCTCAGAACTATCAGACTTGTGCAATATACCGTGATGAAGTTCAATACAATAGTGGTGGCAGATGTCATAAACAAATCAATTCCTGCCACCCCAAACGCAAATGCCAATTCCCGGACTGTCCGTGTCACCCCCAGAATTAGAGTAACTAAGCACCGTTTCATGAACCTGGCAACCTGAGTTTGAAACCTGACAATAGCTGACATTACTGGTGAGTGATAACTTAGCAGGTCCTGGTCTCCTGCCCTTGAACTTGTATGACGAGCATGGTGAAGTGTGATTAAACAACACCCCTGCCCCCCAAGCCCCCATGAGGCCTCCATTCAAGAGTGGATTGACAAATTCACCGATAATTAAAATCATGAATAATTATTATTAGCGCAACATCATCCCACATCCTCCCACTGGATACGTGAGGCTTTGGTCATCCAGAGGGATTACATATACAGTGATACCTCGGTTCACGAACGCTTCGGTTCATGAACAACTCGGTTCACGACCAGAAAATTTCATAAAAATATGCTTCGGTTCACGAACTCCGCTTCGGTTCACGAACAGGAGCCGCGCCCATTTTTATGCTAATTCCAGGCTGTCACATGGTCGTGATTTATTGTAACGGGAGCGAGCAATGCAAAATCAGCCGACACGTGGTGCGCCCGCCTCTTCTGCCCTTCACGCGCAGGCTACACGCGCGCGCGCACGCACGGACGCACGCACGCGCACGCACGCGCGCGCACCCCGGAATGAGCGGAGAGGCACACATGCGCCAGCTGTGACAGTCATCCCTCTTCACCTAAAAATAAAAAAACCCCGAGCGATGGATTTTTTTCCACGTATTTTTGTCAGCGTTGACCACAGCCCCTCGAAACGATCTCTCCTTGAAAAATCCATTATGCAAAAATGGAATGAGTGCCATGATTTTTTTGAAAAGCACCACCCCAACATAGCTGTCACGAACAGAGTGTTAAATCTCATGAATGATAATGTGGTCTCTCAAAAAAAAGGTCAGAACGGATTAACCGGATTTACATTGAACCCTATGGGAAAATGTGCCTCGGTTCACAACCAATTCGGTTCACGACCAGAGTCATTTCACGAATTAAGTTCGTGAACCGAGGTATCACTGTATAAGGACAGTACAGGGTGATGTAGGGACAGTATGGCTCCCCGTGGCTATGGTTAATAATTAACGTAACAGAACAGACAGGGTCACGTTCGGGTAATGTGGGACCTAAGTGGGCGCTAATAATGATTGATGCGACAAGCTTTAACAGGGTCGAGTGAGGGGAAGCAAGGGACCTAACAGTCGTAAATTGTAATAAGGGCAGAGACAGACAGGGCCAGGTGCGGTGAGAGAGGGTTCGGGAATAGGGGCGTGGCCAGGTCGTGAGGGGGATAAAAGCCGGCCATGAACCGGGGCTCTGGGCTGCTGTTGTGGGGGAACTGCCGTCGCCGTCATCACCATGGAGTGGGTCGTCTTCATTATCCTGGAGTTGGCACCGTGTAGTCTTGGAAGGCTAGAGTTATGTTGTCTCAGAATAGAGTTGTCTAAGTTACCCAAGTGTATATAGTCACTCGCGGTTGCTCGTTAAGTTATCAGTGAGTCGGCGGACTTTATTCATAATAAATATACATATAACTAAACAAGACGGTGTCTCTGAGAGCTACATTACACATACATGCACGATGCCTCTCGGTTGGACCCTCATGGGGGTGGAATGCCACTGGTCTAGTCTGTGAGCCCCACTGGTCTAGTCTGTGAGCCCCACTGGTCTAGTCTGTGAGCCCCACTGGTCTAGTCTGTGAGCCCCACTGATCTAGTCTGTGAGCCCCACTGATCTAGTCTGTGAGCCCCACTGGTCTAGTCTGTGAGCCCCACTGATCTAGTCTGTGAGCCCCACTGATCTAGTCTGTGAGCCCCACTGATCTAGTCTGTGAGCCCCACTGATCTAGTCTGTGAGCCCCACTGGTCTAGTCTGTGAGCCCCACTGGTCTAGTCTGTGAGCCCCACTGATCTAGTCTGTGAGCCCCACTGGTCTAGTCTGTGAGCCCCACTGGTCTAGTCTGTGAGCCCCACTGATCTAGTCTGTGAGCCCCACTGGTCTAGTCTGTGAGCCCCACTGGTCTAGTCTGTGAGCCCCACTGATCTAGTCTGTGAGCCCCACTGGTCTAGTCTGTGAGCCCCACTGGTCTAGTCTGTGAGCCCCACTGATCTAGTCTGTGAGCCCCACTGATCTAGTCTGTGAGCCCCACTGGTCTAGTCTGTGAGCCCCACTGGTCTAGTCTGTGAGCCCCACTGGTCTAGTCTGTGAGCCCCACTGGTCTAGTCTGTGAGCCCCACTGGTCTAGTCTGTGAGCCCCACTGGTCTAGTCTGTGAGCCCCACTGATCTAGTCTGTGAGCCCCACTGGTCTAGTCTGTGAGCCCCACTGATCTAGTCTGTGAGCCCCACTGATCTAGTCTGTGAGCCCCACTGGTCTAGTCTGTGAGCCCCACTGGTCTAGTCTGTGAGCCCCACTGGTCTAGTCTGTGAGCCCCACTGGTCTAGTCTGTGAGCCCCACTGGTCTAGTCTGTGAGCCCCACTGGTCTAGTCTGTGAGCCCCACTGGTCTAGTCTGTGAGCCCCACTGATCTAGTCTGTGAGCCCCACTGGTCTAGTCTGTGAGCCCCACTGGTCTAGTCTGTGAGCCCCACTGGTCTAGTCTGTGAGCCCCACTGGTCTAGTCTGTGAGCCCCACTGGTCTAGTCTGTGAGCCCCACTGGTCTAGTCTGTGAGCCCCACTGATCTAGTCTGTGAGCCCCACTGATCTAGTCTGTGAGCCCCACTGATCTAGTCTGTGAGCCCCACTGGTCTAGTCTGTGAGCCCCACTGGTCTAGTCTGTGAGCCCCTCTGGTCTAGTCTGTGAGCCCCACTGGTCTAGTCTGTGAGCCCCACTGGTCTAGTCTGTGAGCCCCACTGATCTAGTCTGTGAGCCCCACTGATCTAGTCTGTGAGCCCCACTGGTCTAGTCTGTGAGCCCCACTGATCGAGTCTGTGAGCCCCACTGATCTAGTCTGTGAGCCCCACTGGTCTAGTCTGTGAGCCCCACTGGTCTAGTCTGTGAGCCCCACTGGTCTAGTCTGTCAGCCCCACTGATCTAGTCTGTGAGCCCCACTGGTCTAGTCTGTGAGCCCCACTGGTCTAGTCTGTGAGCCCCACTGATCTAGTCTGTGAGCCCCACTGGTCTAGTCTGTGAGCCCCACTGGTCTAGTCTGTGAGCCCCACTGGTCTAGTCTGTGAGCCCCACTGGTCTAGTCTGTGAGCCCCACTGGTCTAGTCTGTGAGCCCCACTGATCTAGTCTGTGAGCCCCACTGATCTAGTCTGTGAGCCCAACTGGTCTAGTCTGTGAGCCCCACTGATCGAGTCTGTGAGCCCCACTGATCTAGTCTGTGAGCCCCACTGATCTAGTCTGTGAGCCCCACTGGTCTAGTCTGTGAGCCCCACTGGTCTAGTCTGTGAGCCCCACTGGTCTAGTCTGTGAGCCCCACTGATCTAGTCTGTGAGCCCCACTGGTCTAGTCTGTGAGCCCCACTGATCTAGTCTGTGAGCCCCACTGATCTAGTCTGTGAGCCCCACTGGTCTAGTCTGTGAGCCCCACTGATCTAGTATGTGAGCCCCACTGATCTAGTCTGTGAGCCCCACTGATCTAGTCTGTGAGCCCCACTGGTCTAGTCTGTGAGCCCCACTGGTCTAGTCTGTGAGCCCCACTGGTCTAGTCTGTGAGCCCCACTGGTCTAGTCTGTGAGCCCCACTGGTCTAGTCTGTGAGCCCCACTGATCTAGTCTGTGAGCCCCACTGATCTAGTCTGTGAGCCCCACTGATCTAGTCTGTGAGCCCCACTGGTCTAGTCTGTGAGCCCCACTGATCTAGTCTGTGAGCCCCACTGATCTAGTCTGTGAGCCCCACTGATCTAGTCTGTGAGCCCCACTGGTCTAGTCTGTGAGCCCCACTGGTCTAGTCTGTGAGCCCCACTGATCTAGTCTGTGAGCCCCACTGGTCTAGTCTGTGAGCCCCACTGGTCTAGTCTGTGAGCCCCACTGATCTAGTCTGTGAGCCCCACTGGTCTAGTCTGTGAGCCCCACTGGTCTAGTCTGTGAGCCCCACTGATCTAGTCTGTGAGCCCCACTGGTCTAGTCTGTGGGCCCCATACCCCACGACTCCACCGCCATGACAAACTTTATGGGGTGCCTTGAGTTGTGTAAACTGAGCATCGTTGAATTTTCTGGAAATGGCAAAGCTGTGGTTTGTTAATACAATTTCGTTCACTTTTCCAATTATATTTTAGGATGCGATGTACCGTCATAATTCTATATATAGGTACAATAAAATATTACTCTATAACTGATTAATCTCTTCAGTTCTCTGCCCAAGGGCAGGTTCTTGGCTCAAGTCTCCTTCATTGATATTTATATTTTCCCCGTAATTTCAACAATAAATCTCTCCTTTCTTTAAGTTGCCAAGCAGCGTTTGACCTTCCACCCCCAACATCCTCCATTTTAGAGCTTCCTCGAGCAGGACTTCCTCTCTCAAACCATCTCCAGTGTGTGCAGTTCACCCCGCACATCTACATCCTCTGGCATCCAACCCTGTGACATGACATTGTTTAATCGGGGCACGTACACAAACTCTGTGGGGCAGAGTTTGTGTAGGTGTCTTGGTGTCCTGTTAGGAGACCACGTGACTATCAGAACTTGACATTGCAGCCGTCTTCCAAATTCCTAACCATCTGCCACTACGAGAGCTACGTTCCTTCTAGAATAATAATAGTTATAAATAATATTGATTACATTTTGTACTCACACTGATCTTATCAAGGAACTATGCGAACATCCCAATTCAGTTATGTGAAGATCATTCTTAACATTTGTACCCTGACGCCTGCAAACAATGACCTACTCATTTAGAATGAATTCACGTGATTTTAAACATCCACTTTGAAGCAGACAGCGCGTATTTTATGCTTAATACACTATCGCAGTATTACCTAGGGCAGCTTGCCGGATTTAAACCACTAACCCCTGCAACAAGCGGCGAACACGTTTCCGCCGGGCCATGTTGTTGCCTCGCCTAAAGCCGGCACTGCCAGGGCCCTCAGCCAAACACGAGAGTGCACGCTCCCCCTTCCTGGCACGTGGGTCCTCATGCAGTTTCACCGCCTGCACACTCGACAGCTCGACTCACCCGAGTTGAGGAGGATCATGGCCTTGAGGCAGACGTATTCCTCCCGGCGGAGATGCAGCTCACGGAAGCGGCTCACGGTGACGAGCAGCATGTCGAACATGTCCAGCATGCCCTCCACATTGCGCGCGTCTTCCCTGCCGGACACGCATGCACACGGGCACGCTTACTACAACCGCCTCATCCTCGCAAAAATCTTTCAGAAGAACTTCAAGAGGAATCCAATGAGCTATGAAGCTCTTTTTCACAGATGTCCCATAGGGGCGGTCAGCAATTGAACTATCGATACACGGGTAAGAATTAAAGTTACAAATAACATTCGCAAATGTGGTTGTAGCCAGATACCACCCAGAGAAACACAGCAGCTCCTCCAAACAATGTGCCGGACATTTCGGGTCCCGCACATTTGCTCGGGTTATTTTCGTATCAGAGCCATTGCATGCAGGGGTCACGGTCTAAATTTTCCAAAAATGTTTAATTAATTGCTCTACAAATGAAAAATAAGAATAGGTTCTACCCTTTTTGGCAATTAAACAGGTGTTAAGATGTTCAAACACCAAATTACTGAATTGGGAAAATCATAGAAATAGTCTTGAGACTCAGTGAGCTGGTCCGAGGATAATAAGCAGAATTATAGTTATACATTATAAATATAGAAATAATTAAATTCACACTCACGAAGCTCAAAAGTGTAACAATAGCTACTGTAGACGGCATTGCTTGACCACACCTCCACACCACGTATTCTCGACCTTGATATGAAATACTATTTGTGTTTTGATATAATACAAGTGTAATGACATGATGCCACCTGCTGGCTCTGTTCCCATCTTTAAAGGGAAAGGTGATGCACAAGAGTGTGGGAGCTACAGAGGAATAGCATTGATGAGTCACACCATGAAACTCTGGGAAAGGATCATAGAAAGAAGACTGAGGAAGCTAGTTGACATTGGTGAGTCATATTATTGGTTCTTTCGGTAAAGTCACCTAGAAGGGAAATAATATGAAAAAAACAATAATATGAATCCCTGCAGTCACGAAAGCTTTAAATCGAAATTGCTGAGTCAGTTTGGATTCAGATAGGGAAGGTTATTAATGGATTAAATCTTTGCACTGACAGTATTGTTTAGAGAGAAGAAACGGGACCTGCATATGGTGTTTATTGATCTAGAGAAAGCGTACGACAGGGTACCTAGAGAGCTCATCTGGTGGTGTATGAGAAAAAGAGGTATTCCTGATTTATATGTCCGGCTGATCCAGGATATATATGAAGGAGGGGAATATGCATGTGCGAAGCAGCTGTGGAGTGTCGGAGAACTTTCAAGCCAAGGAAGAACAGGGGGGTGAGAAATGAATAAGTGAGAGGAAGACTCAAGGTGGTAGAAATCACAGAGAAGATGAGAGACAAAAGGCTGGTGTGGTTTGGTCACGTGGAGAGATAACAGCAAAATTACGTGGGTCAGAAGGTGCAAGTGATGCAAGTGGAAGAAAAGAGATCAAGAGTAAGGCGGACGAAGAGATGGGGCAATGTGGTACGAATGGACATGGTAGCCCGAGGAGTGGAAAGATGGCGCAGGACAGGGCAGCGTGGAGAAGGTTGGCAAGGACAGCAAATCCAACATGAGTGGGACAAACGCGTGGAAGAAGAATATTGCCACTGGATTGTGATTAGAAAGCAGATATACTGGGGCATCCCACCCCTATATTCAAATGTTATTTGAGGTCACTTTTCTAAGGAACCGTTATTAATTTTATAAAACCTCGCCGAGTCTCAAGTCTTCTTCGTGAGGATCCTGCATTCGGATATTTGGCCAATGCCATCAATGAGGGGTTGACTTCATAAGCCAGGAGAAAATCTATCCACACAATAAGATCAATAATCTATTTCTGTACTGCCATCTCCTTGGCCACTCACAGCCGAATCCTACAACACATTCTGAGTGATATGGTTGGATGCTCTGGTAGTACAATAATGGGGCACTTGTGTGGATGAAAACACAAAAACAAAATTCCTTCTCTACACATAAAAGGTAAAACAGCCTTTTAGGCCAACGGCCTTTGGCTTTTACAGCCATATTTTTCTAACAACATTTGTTTCATCAACAAACACCGGACCAATTTGAACTTCCAGAGTCCCATCAGCAGTCAAACCTGTTAGGCATATGCTGCTCTTTATATCTGATATGTGCGCATTGAGGCCATCCAGAATGGCAAGGCCTCCTGATGGGAGGTCAATAACCCACCCTAATTGTCGTAGGTTAACAAAGTGGGAGACCGTCATACGCACCATCCGTGTCCTCCGCACTGCCAACTTGCTGCCTTTAGCCACCTAACATTTTGTTCATTGTTCTGAGCAATGCGCTTCTGTGTTTGGCTTGCTGTTGCTGTAATTTTTTTACAGTACAAAATACGCTCTCTCAAATCCTTGCTCCGTTAATACTTCTTGCATTCACCTCACAAACCATATGAATGCTAATGTCTAAATAAATACGTGAAAAGACGTCTTAAAAATCAGAAAACGTAAAAACTCAGCATGCTTTGCATGTCAAGATGACATCACGATTCTAGGGCATAATCTCCAATTCCATGAGCTGAAAACTCGGTGTACCAGATTAATTGATTCGTCTTCTCTATGCTGTGTTAAACCACCACCACACTAGTTCACAACACGTATCTTTCTGCTTCTCCCTTGCACTACGCCACTTTGGATTTCCTCTGATTGTCTTATTCCCAAACTTTTACAATAATAACCTGCTCGATTCCAGAAGAATGTTTATACTATTGTCTATTAAAACTTTGACAGTGCTGTTTGTTGCTGGCTGATAGACGTGTTGAGCCTTTGGGCCTGTGCTCAGTAACTCAGCGTAAATAAAAACATGTTCTGCATTCGCCCTATGAATGCTCATATATATATACGTGAAAATGTCTTCAGCTGAAAAACCTAACAGGAAGCTCAGTATGCTTTGCGTGTCGAGATGACATCCTAATTCTAAAGTATATTTTGCACACGGATAGTAACACGCACTGGCTCTGGAGAGCCGAAACTGAGCTGAGACTCTAAGAGGTTCAAGCCTCGTTGCAGTCCATGGATCACTTCTGCAGCGCACGTGCACTTTATCTGCAGTGAAGGGAAACTGCCATTCCATGCTGCTCTTTACAGGGTAAGATAGAGTGTGAGCAATTACTCAACTTTTCAGCTTAAGAAGTAAGTGCCAGGAGCATAGTACATAATAGAGATGCTGTTAGTATCTCTGAAGCCGCGAGAACAGATAGATATAATGGGTGAAAAAAGAGACACGTTAAAGTACGAAGAAGAAAAACAGATGCCTGACCTGCTCGCATTCTCTGCTTGCAACTGAAGCTGGAGAAGTTAATGTGTGTGTCATTTGAAGCCATTTCTCATTCCGGAAATAATAACGGTTCCGATGATGTCAATCCTAAGCGTCTAAATTGCCCATTCAGAGCCATCGTGTGTTTAAGAGCTATTTGGGTGCCTGTGCATAATGCGCTGCAATTACAGAACATAGTTCACAAGTGTCAGAGCTCACTCGCTCTCATTCCACAACAGCTTGATCTCACAAACTGTGCTGAGCAAGGCCACAACAGAAGAACTTCCAAAAAACTCAATATTGTACATTCCTCTGCCTGTGAATTTCCTCTTTTTTCCCCCATGAACATTGGAGGGCATCCTTGAGCTCATACGAATGGGTTTTGTGTGGATGTCCCTCACCACCCATTCCATCCCGTTCACTCGTACTCTCTTTCGCTGCCCTACAGCTCATTGTACCACACAAAGCACTCTTCCCCAACCACTACGAGTCTCCGGCACAATTCTCTGCCATGTTAATAATCAAAAACCTAAAATAAAAAGTGTTGTGCTCCAAATATGTGCATGTACAGATGATAAGCAGCTGAGTTCTCATCAATTCAATGTACTTTAGATTTACCATCACCCACCCACCCCGTCTACAACGCGATTCAAAATCGTGGTTCGATCTGTTGTGTTTAATTTGTTGTCATTCCCCGCACCTCCAATTAGCACAGTTGGCTATGTACGGTGCAAAAGAGTACATCCATACAAATATTGATGATTGTTTTTGTCTTGTTTTTATTTTCTCATTTGCATCTAATGCCTCTCACTTACACATTGATACTAATAACAATTATTATCAGCCAATATCAATCCACTGCTGGATGAAGGTCTCCCAAAGTCACCGCCACCCTTCACGATCCTGCGATGCAGCACTCTCTCCAGCTCTCACGCGGGAAGTGATGTGGGGATAGTTCGTACAAAAGGGTATTTGACAACTGCTTTGAAGAAGACCGGATCGATCCAACTGTTTACCTGGCTCAACAGAACGAATGTAGGTTCCTTCATTGAACTGAAGCTGTCACTCTTCAGATGTGGAAGAAAATAAATTAAACAAAAATGTAATTTAATTACCTTCATCATGAGCACAAACGAGGGATGTTTAATTAATTGGAACACAAAAGCTTTGTAGATGTGCAGATGCCTCTTTGGCTGTGAACTGAACCTCTAACATTTTGCACTGCATAATACTCCTAATACTTAGCCCTAATACTATTCTAAAATAATAATCCACAATAATACTCCTAATACCACTCCTAATACCACTCCTAATACCACTCCTAATACCACTCCTAATACCACTCCTAATACCACTCCTAATACCACTCCTAATACCACTCCTAATACCACTCCTATTACCACTCCTAATACCACTCCTAATACCACTCCTAATACCACTCCTAATACCACTCCTAATACCACTCCTCATGCTACTCCACAATACTACTTCTAATACTACTCCACAAACATGAGAACTCTGTTCAGTATGCAGGCTTTGCAAGAAATAAATAGACCCATCGCACCGCAAATCTGCATGACACTTCAACATGAGCGGCTCATTAATGCTTTCCTTGCCAGCATCAAGGACCCTCACTGAGAAAATTGTTTTCAGTCTGTTCATTGTGACATCAAATTATGTTAAAGGTAATCAAATTCCCCCTGCGCTCGAGTGACAATATGGGGTTTCAAGATGCTCTCCTGAAAAGCTGAGGTCATAAACACAAGGCAGCTGTGGCCCCATCCATCAGCCTCGACGCAGATGGCACA